AAATCATTATACAAGAGATTAGTCCTTGAATATTAAAAATTACCGTTTCATTTAACAATTTTTGTTTAAAGCCTATTTGGTTTCTACTTTTCTTAAGAAAGAGAATATAGGGAAGCCGCATAACAAAATAATTTAGTTTGGCTTAAGATATTGAATTTCTTAACACAAAAATTGAGATATAATATAATTAATTATAATAATTTAATAATTAATCCTATTAAATATATAATTGATTACAAAGAGTAAAAAGTATTATAGATGTTATAATCACTTATTTTCTCTTTATAACTAATTACTTCACTTTTTCCTCATTTTTTAGACAAAAGGTCTCAAAAAAAAAATTTTTTAAAAAATTATATATAATCACTTATACAATATATTATAATCAATTATATTATACTTTAATTTTTATACCAAAAAATTTATTTTCGAAAATCATGTTAAATTTTTTATTTTTTTATTAACCTCTCGATATTTGATAATTACGTTGGATTTTGATTAATTTAAAATTGAGTGATGTCAAATTTCAATATGAAAAAGTTTTCCCAACATTTATTTCTCTATTCACAAAATTTAAATTCAATACCTTATTAAAAAAGAATCGAACTCTCGTTATTCCATCTAATAGATTTTCGGTATTAAACTTTCCATTTAGTCGGGTCGGGTACCCCGGATTCTCTTTCCAGAATCCGATGTAACCAAAAAAACCCCGTCTCCATCTAACATGTTTATTTCCACTAAAAACGTGGCCTTTTCTCCACCATCTATTATATTTGTGGCTTCAATTTTTTTGTTGTACTCATCAGGGGGACGCCTAGGGTCTTGTCGCAGACATCAAGACAAATTCACTCCCCTTCCAAGAAAATGGACACCCAGAAAAGCATTGGCTACTCTCTTTTCATTAACAGTCTATCCATTTTACTCGGTCAGAATCATGTTTTCAACCAAAAAAAAAAAAAACTTCGTTCCAGTTACATCAATTTCAAGATAAGATTGTTTGTTTTTTATAGGTAATATGTTTAAATTTCATAAAATTTTTTAATTGATATATGTAAATAATTTTAATTTATTAAAAAAAAAACAAACAAACAGTGAGATTTGTCACATGCACTAACAGCTAAGCGCTTAGCACCAAAAATTGCCTCAATGATTGTCTTATAAATGGATCATCTTCACATCGGTGTTTGATACGTCATCGTTAAATCCAAATTCCATGATTATATAACTGTTATAAAATTAATATATATATATATATAAAGATAAATTAGTAAGACAATAAGACAAGAAGAATAGATAGAAGTGTGAGAAATAAAGAATGCCTTAGAAATATATTTCTATCCTTATTTTTTCTTTTTTAATAAATTGTAATTATTTACGAGTAGTAATTGAGATATGAGAAAAAAAATTTTGTAGAAGTTTAAATACACAACTCATAAGAGATAAACAATCCTAACTTAGAATTCATGTTATTGGATCAGAACGAGTTGTTTTTTTTCTTCATTTAAAGTAAAGGTAAGTATTAAGTATAGATAAATTTGTTATTTTTTTAAGTATTTCACTTATTTGAGTAAGTATTATTTATGAAATGTTAAAAAAAGAGTAAGTAATGAATATAAAAATAATATACTTGTAAATATAAAATCAAATAACAAATATTAAGATTTAAAAATATTTACTCGATTTGTATAATTGACTATAACCTATACTTATATAATTAAAATTTTACATGCACTTATTATACTTAATATTTATATAATAAAAATAAATTTTAAAAATAAAATAAAAAATAAAAATTCAGTAAAGTCTAATAACTTATATAAATAATAAACTTTACACCAAACACATAATACATGCAACAATATCATCACATATTAGACATGTTTTTTTTCTTAAGTTAAATTCATAAATATATACTTACAAAATACCCAATATCTGTTGGGTTAAATGCTAAGTATAGATTTTTAAATATTTAGGTAGGTGCCAAATTTAAACAATTGTACTTAAAAATTTTCAAATCAAGTATTAAATATAATTCATACTTAATCTATATTCAAAAATGCTCTACCCCAATACAAAGTTACAAGCCATATTTATACTGATCATTAAAGTTGTATGGAACTATAAATAATACCTAAGTGGAGTTATGAATAAAGTTAATTGAATATAAATTACAAATGAAAGAAAATGGAGATGAATACGAGGGCATGGGCACAACCTCTATAGAAAAATTCATAATAATATTATGAAATTCCAAAGGGATTTTGAGCAATTAGAGGGTTTTTTTTTTTTTTTAAGGAAAGCGACTGCAAGCTGGAGCTAGTAATAGGCCCCAGGGCCTGGGAGGTTGGGTAAAACTTTTACTACTAAATTTTGTTGGCCCAACGAAGGGCCAGTATCTAAACTTGGGCCAACGCGCGTTCACTCTTGATCAGCAGCAAGAAATAGGCTCAAGAATCGGCCGATATTGGAACATTGAAAATGAGGGATTAACAATAGTGTAACCCCCATCTATCAGAAGGTTGTGCCCACTGGTGTACCTTGCCTCATCACTCGCCAAATAAAGCGCAGCATTTGCGATATCTTCTGCCTTAAGGGTCACACCCTTAAGATTGGCAATCGAATCCAAAATCTTCTTGAGCTCCTCCAGATTAAATCTATTGACAGTGATAAACAATAGTATTACGAATTCAAAATGATAGTTTAACGATTAAAATTTTAAAATTTTAAGTTAAAGATTTTATATTCGAGTATTGAATCAGATGAAGAAGGATTTGACAACAAAACAGAACTATTTTATCTTATATAACTTATAATTAGATATATATATATATAAACAATGTCGTTGCAAACCCATAGGGAGATAAGCAGTTAACCAAATTGCCTGAGCTCAACTGCAGCATTTTTTGTCAGTCCCACAACAGCATGCTTTGAAGCAGTATAAGCATGGGCGCCTGTTTTACCTATAGTTGAACTTACGCCGGCAGTGGAGATTATGCAGCCGCTTCGAGCAGGAACCGTGATCCGAGCTGCGTGTTTGATGCCAAGGAAGATCCCGGTCACGTTCACACTAAGGACACGCTCAAAGTCGGATTTTTCCCTATCAATTATGCGTGGCTTCATCTCGCCCAAAATGCCAGCGTTATTGAACATGATGTCTAGTTTGCCATAGATGGCAACAGCTTTGTCCACAGCGTGTTGGATTTGCGATTCATTGGTGACGTCGCAGTGGAGGAAAATGGAGTTTGATGGGCCGACTGACTCACAGACTGTGTGGCCTAATTGTTTTTGGATGTCAGCTACAACTACTCTGGCTCCATGGTGGGCAAAGATTCTGGCAGTGCATGCGCCAACACGGCTGGCTCCTCCTGTAATTAGGGCAACCTTCCCCTCTAGCGTGCACAAAATTGACAATTATATCAAACAATATACTGTCAGTAAAGCTATCATCCTTAACTATATCCATCCAAAATAAACAAGAAAATACACCCTTTTACGACAGCAGAGATAAACGAAGCCATTGCTATGGTCACAACTGTGAATTTTAGAAAGAAAATTTAGTGGAATATTGCTATTAATTCAACTTATCATATGCAACTCGATCTATATATATAGGGAAACAATTTTGGTATGAGAACACTTGGTGAAAGGCTATTGGTTTCGGTGCATTAGAGCAGTGGAGAATTCGTTCTTGTAGCA